TGTGCACCCCTTTTTAGTCTGGGTTCCACTGTTGGGTCATTAGGTTAATTTGGAGCAGAAGACATGTAAAATGTGCAATGCCCTTGCCGGGACTCGAACCTGGACCTCTCGAATATGCTCCGAGTGTGCTACCGTTACACCATGATAGCATGCGAAAAGGAGGGAGAAATTTATTTATTATTTTAATTATAATTTATTTAAATTTTATAATAATTTATTTAAATTATTATTTTAATTTTTAGAAATAATTTATCTTTATGAAGTAAGTGATACAAAGCTGTGTTTTCACGGGTTCTATATTGTAAATCTAAAAATTCACTAAAAAATTTAAATGACTTAAAAGAGAAAAATTTTAATTTAATAACAAATAAGCCTTAAAAATCGGTTTTAACTTCTGAATGCATGCTTATCTTTTCCTGAGAAACAAACCCTTTGAAGGTGGTTAAGACTTTTAAGAAAAGAAAAGCTCTCCACCTACATGTCTAAGGCTTATTCCTCAATACAACTCCAATTATCCGAACTCCAACTCGCTTTCAGAATTTAAGAAAAAAAAAAAAAAAAAAAAAAAAAAAGATAAATAAAGCTGAATCAAAGAATTCAGACATTAAAAGGAGTGAACCTACACTTTTAAACATTGTGTCACTGCTTGGAAACGAAGATGGAAGTTCTTCAAGAAAATCAATGAATGCAGCAACAAACGGATATTTAGAAGACATAGTTTTCATGTGGTTTTTGGAGCAATGTTCTATCGGAAATCCAATTTCGGGTCCGATTCTTTGTGAAAAAGCTAAGATCTTAGCTCAGAAGCTTGGTTGTTCATCCTTTAAAGCACACAAAGGCTGGCTAAGAAATTTTAAGTGCAGGCACGGTGTCCGTCAGACAGCTTACTTTGACTGAGATGTTCAGCAAGCAATGACTTTCAGCACTTGTAAGTACTGTACGCTATATACTGTACACTTAATAGTACTGGGCTAGTAAACAATGAGATAGCTCAGCAGTTTTCAATCTTCTGACTAATGTGTAAAATCTAAACAAAAATTGGAAACCTTTAGTACCACCACCACTCTTGAACAAAGCTCAGATTGGATAAATTTACGAGTGTTAGAAAAAACCTCAATCAGGATATTGGGGTTTTAATTTTTGAATTTAATAGTTAAAAACACTTTGCTTCTTAACGTACCACCTATTTCTCTCTTGCATACTACCGGTTGAGAACCTCTGGTTTAGATGAATTCCTGAAGTTCATCACTCCGTGTCTCTCATAACCATTCAGAGACTACAGCTGAATACAGGCACTCACAATCGTTCTAAATTTCTAATAATCTGCATGCTTTACATTCCCCTCACACCTTTCATTCTACTCTGCTGATTTCTTCATGATGTTCTAATTTTCATAAACATGAGTATATATTAAAAAAAAAAATAGTCTCTAAAAAATTGAGTTCAGCCACTACGGTGCTGACATCTGTCCATTTTTAATAGAAACCACATTAAAGAGTTTTTTCATAAAAGAATAAAATTATTACTACTGAAATTTCTGGGTTTAAATTTACGTTGCTACTTTATTCTGTAGCCATATATGCTAGAACTATTTATGGTACTTGGACATAATCTGGTACTTGCAACCACAGTGCCAATAATACCATGCGACTTAGCTTTTCTGTGGATGTTGCAACAACCTCAGAAGATAGCCTGGATTCTTTGCAGAAACAAACAATTGCTTGTTTTCTTTCCCTTCATCTTTTGTTAAGAGTAAATGGTTTCTTGTTTTTTCAATGTCAACTTTAGTCCAATTTAAAAAGACCTTACCTGCATTGTATCATTTTGTTTGGAATGCCTTCTTGCATAAAATTATTAACACAACAGCTATTTTTCTTGCACTAGCTTTTACATCCTGCATCATGTGTCTACTAGATTTATTGAGAAATGAAGCAGTAGCATTAAATTCTTTCCAGGTATTAAAAAAAAATAAATGCTTCAAATTTTATGTAATGAAAGATGCACAACAGAAACATAGTGTCAACAACAGCCGGCAAAGTTTTCAGATGGGAAATGATAGCTGCTAAAAATCAGAAAACTTGTTTGATCTACTTGCTGATGTTGAAAAAATAATTCCATTGCCAAAAGGTATTAACAGATAGTTGGTAGGGTATTGGCAGGTGCTAATGCCTAATTATTAATTTTATTCCAAGTTCTAGAATTTTCTTAGAGACAAAAATAATTTATGCAATAAAAACATGCAGAAAGAAATTATTTTTTAAATAAGGAATTAATTAACACTCTGAAGAGAATAGCATCTTGAATCTGCTCATGAAAACATGTATTTAAACAGCATTTATTAGCTAAATTTGGATAGTTACTTGATTTAGTCTTCTTTTCATAAAATCCAATTCATTTAAGAAAGCAAGAAAACAATATATTTAAAATTAGAAGCTACTATATACCAAGTGAAAAAAAATCATATGACCATATAAAGGCAGTCACATCACTCAGAGAGTTAACTCTGAATTGCATCTAATTAGTAACTTAGCAGCCACTTTTACTTGGATCTCAGGTAACATTGGTATGCATGTTAAAAAAATTTTTTTTGGTAGCTTTTAATGAAAAAACAATATTTTAATGTTTTTCTACAAAAGAACAGCTGCAGATTTTGTGTTTTTTTTAAGAAATGGGCATAAGAATTTATCCAAAGCAATTGTCACATATTAAGAACACCTATGCCTTCTACAATGTAAAATTGAAACACTGACAAGAGAAAGCATACATCACAAGTGCGTTACATTTTCCTGATAAAATAATTCAAGGAAATTCATCCGAGTACAATTTTTTAAAAGTACATGGCTATTATACCTTTCTACACAGATATAATTTAAAACAAAAGATTAATACTTAAACTATTTCTTACAGCAAGTACGTAGCGTATTCGGAAACTAAGTACCGTTTCATTCTAGCGCCGTCGGAGCGCTGTGGTAGGCGTCCCGCACATGCGCACTAGTCTTTCTTGTTCACCGACTTTCAATTGTTGCCATTTTGGTTGCTCTATGTTGTGTTTTCAGTTTGCTGTGCACATTCAAAATGTTCAAGATAATTAGTTCTCCCGCTGACTGTGAGATTCGTGCCGTGGTTAAATTTTTGAACGCGAGAAATGTTAAATCGGCCGAAATTTATCGTCAAGTGACAGAAGTTTACGGTGAATACGCGATAAGTGATGGAATGGTGAGAAAGTGGGTAAGAATGCTTAATGCAGGTCAAACAAATGTCCACGCCGAGGCTCGGAGTGGTCGGCCTTCTGTTGTCACCGATGATTTGGTAAGGAAAGTTGATGAAGCAATTCATGAGAACAGATGCTTCACAATGACAACTCTTTCAGAAGCATTTCCACAAATTTCACGTACTGTTTTGTTCGAAATTGTGTCTGACTGCTTGAATTATCACAAACTGTGTTCCCGATGGGTTCCAAAAATGCTCACTGATGTTCACAAAACAAAGCGACTTGGTAGTGCCCTGACATTTCTCACGCGGTACAGTGATGAGGGAGAAAACTTTTTAAACCAAATTGTGACAGGTGATGAAACTTGGGTGTGACATTTCACACCAGAATCGAAACAACAATCGATGGAGTGGAGACACACTCATTCTCCGAAAAAACAAAAGTTCAAAGTGACAATGTCATCACAAAAAATCATGCGCACTGTCTTTCTGGGATAGGAAAGGCGTTTTGCTTACTGAATTTCTCCCCAGAGGTGAAACCATAATTGCGGCACGATATTGTGAGACTTTAACAAAACTAAGGCGTGCCATTCAAAACAAATGAAGAGGAATGCTCAGTAAAAGAATTGTGTTGCTCCATGACAATGCTCGGCCCCATAATACTGCTGGTGTCACTCAATCGTTAATTCGACAGTTTCATTGGGAGCAGTTCGATCACCCGCCGCACAGCCCGGACTTGGCACTGTCTGACTATCACTTGTTCCTGCAGATGAAGCGCGAGCTTGGTGGCAAGCGCTTTGGATCTGACGATGACACGAAAAATGCTGTGGAGTCGTGGTTATCGAAACTGGCGGGAAGTTTCTTTGACGATGGTATACAAAAACTGGTCACCCCCCTATGACAAGTGTTTGATCATTGGCGGAAACTATATTGAAAAATAGTTTAAGACATGTATTTTCATGTAAAAATAAAATTGGATTCAAAAAAATTGTTTTACTATTTTTTTTTTCAAAACGGTACTTAGTTTCCAAATATGCCTCGTAAAACTCTGCACTGTGGATTGAGAAAGCACTATCAGCAATGAAGCAGCTTCAGTTTTTACGCTGATTGAATAATAAATGCTAGAAGACCAATAAGGGATCTTAATGCTTATTGGAGAGTTGAAACATGATGTTTTCAGACATTCACAGAGGTAGAGTGCCATAATATCAGTAAAAGAGGTTTTTATTTATTTTACCGATTAAAGTAATATTAGATGCCAAAAATTATATTTTTAGATGCCTATTATGAACACCAAGTTATATAATTATTGTCAGAAATCGTAAGAATAACAGAAAGTTGAAAGAAATATGTTATAAATTGGGTTGGCATTGAGTAAAAACTCTTCCCACCTAAACTAGGAAAGGTATGATATAACTTCTGAGGGCACTGAAAAGGTGTGCAATTTTATATTGCTACAGTTTATATTTGTTTGTACTAAAACTGCCTACTTTTAAAAATGTAACAGAATGATATGCCGATGGATTAAGCAACATTAGTACTGTATCTTTTAATAATATGACTGATCCTTTAGTTGTGTGCAACATGATTAGTTATTTAATCAACACAAGAGAACATCTACAAAAGTAATATAAAATATTATTTTTTAAGTTTTTTCATTTCCACTTTTGGCTGAATTAAGGGAATTCAGTTGCATATAAATGTTTCTTAAGTATGTACCTATGATAAAAAAAAATTCCTAGTACATCAGTTTTCAAACTTTTGTAAAGTACTTGATAATAAGTTATATATCATTTTCAAACAATTCTGTATTTATTCAACAATTTTGTACAATACTGCAGCTAAATTATAATCATATAAGAAAATTCCTACTATATACAGTGGCCTAAAAAAAGCCATTCACTAAAACTTCTGCTCAATACACATTTAATGAAACATTCCCCTTATGTGAAAATGAGATCCTCAAAAATTTACATATATATCACCGGATCCACATATATATCACATAACATACATCCCTGGAATTACCACATATGGAGAATGCTTTTTTGATGTTCAACTCTTATTCCAGAATACAGGTTGATATATATATCACCAGAATTCCCATACAGGGAAGGACTATTTGATTGTTCAGCTCTTAATCCATACTAATAATGTTTGCCAGAATAGCTTCAGGAGCAACTGGGTCTACGTCAACAGTCCATGGGCAGAATTCTTTTTCAGCTTCCACTGTTTTGTCTCTAAGAAGTTTCCAATTGTGCATAATTGAATGCACTTTCAACACTTTTTCAGTATCATGCTGCACTCCATATATTCTTAAGAGTCCTCGATAATCATATTCCAGTCCACTATAACCTTTGCCAAATAATTTGAGACCTGTTATAATAGATGGGAAAAAACAAATAAATAGATTTTCTTTTAAAGGCAGTAAAATATTTTAAACATGCTGCTATAAAATATTTACAATGAGCTTCAATTATGTGCATTCTAATACAAATGTTTTTTAAAAAAAAAAAGACCGGAAAGCTTTAATGATATTACTACACATTAAAATGTCAATTATTTAATCATTTGTTTGTCCCACTAGAGTAATTTTACTCTAAACTATACCACAATCTCTTTTTGCCTCTCCTTTTAGTCCAAAAGATGCTATTAGTCTCGAAATGAGGTTTTTGTGCCGACTCAGTATAAATGCATCATTTCACTTTTCATTCAAGTCTGTTGCCATTTGAAAAAATGTACGATATTTACCTTCAAGCTGACAAACTAAGCTATCTGAAAGCAACAGACACAGTTTTTAAGAATATTTGTTTCTTACTTCTGAACTGGATTGGTTTAAATAATAAAAATGTATTTAATTCATGATCTAATTAAAATATTCAATATTTGCATAACATGATGTTTATATATATATATATATATTTATTATTTATTTCATATTTTGTAAAACTTAAAAAATTTTTTTATAAATAAACTTTATGATCTGAAAGCAAGCAATGGCAATACTGTAGAGAGTAAAACATTTATCTCCAGCATGCAAGATTGTCTATCAGAAATTCTAAAGATATGCAGAATTTAAATATTTTGTGATTTTGCTGTTGAACTGAATTTTTTGTAGCATAAGTAAGAAGAACGTAATATGAGGGCCATCCAGGAAGTAGATTACGTTTCCGTCTGTGTCCGCTAGGGGCGGGGCTAGCGCGGCCATCTTGGGGTCAGAGCGTTGTGCAGCTCAGTCTGCATCTAGCCGTGCTAGTGAGAGGTTCGTGCTGTGCTCCGTTCAGATACTGTGACGGTTTGAAATGTCTGCGTTAAATGAAAATCCCGCGAGCTGCGAGGTGCGCTCAGTAATAAGGTTTCTGACTGCAAAAAACTGTAAACCGATAGAAATCTATCGGCAGCTTCGTGAAGTGTATGGGGACAACATTATCACTGAAGGTGGAGTGCGTCAGTGGGTCATAAGATTTCAAAATGGCCGAACCAATGTTCACGACGAAGATCAAAGTGGGAGACCCAGCATAGTGACCGCCAAAACTTCTCGAAAAAGTCGATGCTAAAGTCCGTGAAAATCGAAATTTCACAAATAACGGAACTTTCTTTGAGTTTTCCACAAATTTCGCGAAGTTTGTTGCACGAAATCATCAGCAAAAAAGCTTGGTTACCACAAGTTTTGTGCAAGATGGATTCCAAAAATCTTGACAGAGGACCACAAAAATCAGCGAATGGCTGCAGCGTTGAACTTTTTGGACGCTTACCATAAGGATGGTGACTCTTTACTCGATCGCATCGTTACTGGTGACGAAACATGGGTGAAACATGTGAACTGTGAAACGAAATTGCAATCAATGCAGTGGGGGCACACACAAGTTCTCCCCAAAAACCCAAGAAATGCATGCAAACAATGTCGGCAAGGAAGATGATGGCGACTGTTTTTTGGGACAGAAAAGGTGTAATTTTGGTGGACTTCCTGGAAAGAGGCACTACAATAAACTCTCAAAGGTATTGCCAAACTCTCCAAAAACTCAGAAGAGCAATTCAAAAACAAGCGCAGAGGAATGTTGAGCTCTAAGATCTTGTTGATTCACGACAACGCCCGGCCCCACACGGCAAATGTCACTCGTAAAGTTCTTGAATCTTTTAAGTGGGAGTTGTTTCCTCCTCCTCATCCGCCGTACAGTCCCGACCTGGCACGGAGCGACTTCCACCTATTCCCAGCAATGAAGAAGTGGCTGGGCTATGCAGCGTTTTGATGACGACGCACAGCTGCAAGAAGAGGTAACGAAGTGGTTGAAGGCGCAGGCGGCCGAATTTTTCGATGAAGGAATTTCCAAGCTCGTACATCGCTACGATAAATGCCTTAATTTGTATGGTGACTATGTAGAAAAGTAGTATTTGAGTGTGGCTTTCATCTGTATATAATAAAATTTGTTTCCTATACTTTGTTTATTTTTTTATTCCAAAATGTAATCTACTTTCTGGATAGCCCTCGTATTTAATAAATAAAGTTAACACATAAAAAGACAAACAAAATTTTTTGTTTGCCATCTTACTCAGAAAATTGAATACTGATATGGTGAACTGAGAAAAAGACAGAGACAAATAGAAAAATGTATGCCAACACTTAACACTGCATCAAGAATTCTAAACATATACTAAATTCTAAAAAAGCTACAATATATTTTGACACAAGGGTAAAGAATCAAAACAGACATTTCTGACACATTTTTCAATTTTAATAATTTAATACTCAAATCCTATTTGGTGGATAAAAGATAATATTGTTCAAAACTAAAAAAAGATTTCACAGAAGCAATTTCCATATTACAAGAGATTTCTACAAGTTAAAATTAATTTTTCTGCTGACTTTTAATTCAACTCAATAGCATTACATGCATATGAATAAGAAAAAGCCCTCTCCGATCCATTAGCAAATTAAGAAAAAATAAACTAACATTACATATACAATTAAGAAAATATGAACTGTAAAATTAAATAAACATCTACAACTCAAAATTATAAAAAAAATAGAACTAACAAATCTTCTTTCAATAAAAGCCCACAGAAAAAAATCTGATGCGGACACCACATCACTTTCTTGCATGCAATATGAAATTACATGCATTTTTTGCTACATTTCATTTAAATTTATTTCCTCAAATTTAATTAGAGATAGACTTCACATTCAATTAATTCAGTTCTCACTTTGTGGTAGGGCAAAAATACACAAAATATCTTTATTAAAAATTGAAAAATATAGAAAAAAATAAAACACCAAATACAGTTAAAACAATTAAAAGACAATTTTTACAGTTGAAATTAGAATTTCTATGCAAAAACAAGCAATTCAGTCAGCAGGCAATAAAGCAAATTTTTTGGTGTACAAAACTTAAAGTTTACTTTTGGTCTCACTCGGCAAAAAAACACTAAAGGTGCAGAAAATAACTTAATTCACTATTCTGCTATGCTTCAAATGTAAACAAATATGGCTGCTATGGTAAACAAAAATTACATTTAGCCTCACTTAAACAACTTTTAAATAGTTGATAATTCTACAAGTACCGCATGCAGATTAACTAAAGGCATAAAAACCTTACTCGGAATATAAGAACAACCTAATTCAATCATTTTTAAAGCAAAAAATGCACAATTTACCAACATATAAGAATGGAAAAAAAAAAAAAAAAAAAAAAAAAAAAAGAGCTCACAAAGCCAAGTTACAGAGTGGGTGTACTTTTGGTACAACCAATTGCAACCAAAAAGGGAGGTGCAGAACTACATTTTATAGCAGTCCCCTATAAAAAATTTGAATGTTCCAAGGCCCTTTATTTTTGAGTTATGCGAGATACATACTTACATATGCATTTACAGATATCATGAAAAAATCTCTTCTGAATCCATTTTAAATCAATTTTGTAATCCATTTCAGGGGGGAAAAAAAAGAGTCCTTTATGCTATCCTTATGTACAGATATCATACAAAAACATCGTTAAATTGCATTCAATAGCAGTCAAAATGGATATTTTCGTTAAAATATTATACTCAGAAATTTTTGTGATTAAATTCTTCTTTTACTTCATATAAGTGAAAAGGTTCTCTCAAGTTAAAATCAAAGAGCTAACTCATCAAATTACCGCTGACCTTCAGAAAAACACCTGCAAAATTCCTTAGTTTATAACTAAACATAACCCCCCTGGGAGGAAGGAAAAAACTACGAAATGAACACAGCTATGCAGCCACTTTTCTGTTATGAATGGGCTCACTGAAGAAAATTCTGCAGTGAAACAGCAAAAACAGTGATACAATTGTCAGTCTGGTGTTTAAGTGATCCCACTCTGAGCACACCAAATGTTTGTTGCTCGATTTTAAGCAAAATTTCAAGGTAAAATTTTTTAATTAATATGGAATAAAGAAATCAGCATACAATAAAGAAAATAACACAGACATTTCTTCTCAAACAATTCTTTTATATTAAAAAAAAAAAAAAAAAATCGGGAAGATTTCTTTGAAAAATGAGGGTCTTTAAAAACTAGACGTGGCTGATATGTATGGACTGGTTTCTGTTGTGTTGCCATCTAGTATTAATAAAGATTATTAAAAGTAACCAACAGTAACCCATAAAGCCTTTTCCATTCAATTTTTCTGTGTATACGCAGGGAACTTTTTGGGTGTGCCCAGCGTGGGCACACTATACCATACAGTTAATGAAGATGGGTCTGCCCAGCGTGGGCACACTATACCCCCATACAGTTAATGAAGAAAATTATTCTCATATATAAGAAATGCTGAAATATCATCCAGACATTCCCTGTTATGAAATGAGATTGAAATCTTTATGCAATTTTTTTTTTGCACTATTGTTCTCCCCATGTACACATCAATCTAGTTTCGCCTTAAAAAAAAATTCTGAAAGCTTTCAGATTTTACATTATGCCCAAAGGGGTATTTTTTTTAACGTTTCGTGTGTTACCTTTATTTATTAAATATCACGTTCCTCACACTTAAACCGTAAAATTCAATTCAACGGCAATATCATAAAACTATTTTTAAATGAGTATAGCTTTAGATTTTTCGATACACAGTCTCACGTGCTGCAGATAAAAATGTCCCCCCCCAGCACAGTGTTACCATTGCTTGCTTTGAAATCATTGAGCTTGTTAATCAAAAATTCCTTAAACTGTTACAAAATATGAAATCGATCATAAAACAAATTCCAAATTAAGGCTTCCAGATGCCCATATTCGGTGGAGGACTACATTATTCAAAATTGGATGGCTCTAGGTATCATTGTTTTATGCCAATGTGAGAAATATACATACATTTATGCAGATTCTTCATGATTTAATTTCTTTAAATACAACACAGGGCAATAATATTTGGTGGCAACAATTTAAAAAGTGAACCGACATTTATAGTGAATCAATGCAAAATGTCAAAACAAAATAAATAACACTTCTGGGCTAATGCTCTTTGAGCTAACAAAAAAAGAAAGAATTGCAGAAATTTGGCACTGCACATACTATTGTTCTCTCCATGTACACAAAAACCCTTTTTCACTCTTTAAAAAAAAAAAAAAAAAATCCCAGAGAATTGCACAAATTTCAAGTAAGTACAATTTCATGGAATGTGATTTTTTGCATTCTCTATTCTTGGATAAAATGCTTTCGTTTTCATCAGCTGCAAAACTCCTCAGTCCCATTACAATTCTTCACACACACACATATACATACCCCCCAAGATATTCAATTGCAAACACAAGCATTAATTAGAAAAATGGAAGTTGAATCTGGAGGTAGAAATATGCACATGTGGAATGCAAGAAATATTTCAGATTAAAAAGAAATGAGTTATTCAGAAACAATAACATGGTCAACAAAAAACATTCAATTTGATTTATTGAAAATTTAACAAACACCTGACAAATTTAAATAAAAAAAAAATAACAGCATTTTAAACAATTTACCTTACATAAACAAATTATAATATTTTATTTCATTAATCCAGATTTTGAAGGGGAAAGAAAACTGTGATTAACAAAGTAAATCCTCATAAATTGAAAGAATTTTTGTGTTTATCTTGAACACAAAATATACAAGAACTGACCTATATTAATTGATTTCCAGAATAGTACTTCAGCTTCAGAATATAGTTCCATATCATAAGTATACAGGGAAGCTAAATGTGCCATGGATACTGCTACTTCATGATCATCAGGCCCCAAAATAGCTTCTTTAATAGCAATGGCTCTCAACTGCAGGGCTTGAGAATCCTGTAATTGAATGAAATAAAACATAAATATTTTCTTGAGAGAAGGAGTTAAACTAGGCCATTTACTTTATTGTTAAAATAATGAAAAATAAAGATTGACTGATTAAGATTAAAATAAACTATATTCAATACAAAAATATACTTTCATATGAACTTGCACACAAATTAATATTAGCAGTAGGGGGAAAAAAACTGAATTACATTTTGTATACAAAGTCCTCACCAATGTTGAAAGTAATTCTGTGCTAAAAAAATTTCAATAACCACACTTTTTGTATACATATTTATCTTGATAGAAAGAAAATTGAAAATGCTCATGAGACATTTCTATGATACTGGTCCTCTGAGTGACATGTTACTCTGGACGTAATAGGAAAGAGCTGTTTTAAAAAGCAGTAATTGGCAGGATTTGCATGGTTAATTAATTTTTATAACTAATAACTAACTAAATACATTTTTATACCTGGTTCACCACGATTATAAAATTTTGCCAATTTGTATTGGTCTAATGATTGTAGTGCCACGTAATGTTAGTGGCGAGAACTCAGTATTCTCCAAAAAGTGATAAGCACTCTCTCGGCCCACACTGAGTCACTTTTCCTCTGCTTGGTCTAAGCGGCAGTTAATTTTTTTAATTAAATTGTAATCCGTACTCACTACTTTGCCCATTTAAGTGCCATTATTATGTGTTAAAGAGCATAAATGCCACTCAAAGTTCAAGAAGCACAGAGATATGGATATATGCAGAACTAAAAATTTTAATGCACATATTGTCTAGTGGGTGAAGGTTTGAATCTTGATGTGATTTTTTTTTCAAAATCCAATTTAGATTTCTTGTATTTAATGATAAAACAATTTTTTGTGGATTTTTTGCATATATTTTTGGTTAACAAATGAATAACAGAATATTTGCACATAGAAATTAAAGTATATTTAAGAGCAACCAATGAAAAAAATCACAAATATAACAAACAAATGGAAATTTGAAAAAAAAAAAAAAAAAAAAAAAAAAAAAAGAAATGTATCAGTTATCTATGGCTGAACTTCATTTTTGTACCATCATTCTGAGAATAAAACAGATCTTTAAGTACAATTCATTATTATTAAACATGGTTATAAAACAAACTCGAGGGAAAAAAAATCCGGTTCATAAAATTTATCAAATTTTTAATGAAATTTTGCATTAAGTTGCAAAATTTCTTGAAAAACTTTTATATTTTATACTTATAACAGCCCTACATATTTTAGAGAAAATTAGTGACATTTTACTTAAGTTTTACTAACAGTCAGCTTTATGCTTACGGGGGTTCTCAACCGGTGGTGTGCGTACCACTAGTGGTATGCAAAGAAGTAAAGTATTTTTAACTATTAAATTCAAAAATTAAAACCCCAACATCCTGATTGAGTTTTTTCTATAACACTCGTAAATTTATGAGATCTGAGCTTTGTTCAAGAGTGGTGGTGGTGGTGGCAGTACTTTGTAGTGGTGGTAATAAATGTTTTCAATTTTTGTTTAGATGGTATGCGCTAGTCAAAAGGTTGAGAACTGCTGTTCTACCTCATTGTTTACTAGCCCAGTTCAGAGGTTTATGCATTTAGATGTCAAGTGGCATAGGTTAAAATGAGAAATACAATTATAATGGCAATGATTCATAACAGAAGCTTGGTTGTTGCTATCACTGCTGCTTGCCTAGAAGGACAGAGAGCCGCTGACAATGTTGGCACAGTTAGTCAGTGTTAAAAGTTACTTGTGTTTTATCCATCTAAATAGTGTCATAGCTTTGCATACAATTGCCGGAGTTATAACCTAGTTAATATCTGTATCCAATAAGCAGTTGAAGTCCTAGAGGTGATAAATTATTTTGTATTATTTTAAGTCTCATTAGCTGTAAAGAATAAAGCTTTAGGTTAAGTTTTACAATTTTGTGTTGTATCTTGCATCTACAGTTAGGAATTAAGATATGACAACTCGCTTTAAAAAGTACAGATAACTTCTGAGGGTAGGCTGTTAATTACAAATAATTCAATTACGTAGTTAACTCTTAGTTATTATAGATTTAAAATATTACTATTTTTTTTTTAATTTAAAAGAAATAGTCATTCAAAAGGCTCTAATAAACTCACAATCTATGAGCATTTTATAGTTTAAAAATAATGGTTTAGGACAATTATACATTAAAAGCTACATAACATGCACACTTTGTAGCAACAATATACACTAAAATATTTATTTGTGTTTTTAATTTAAACATTTTATAGATGTTTCAGCTAATTTATATCAATTTCCTTCTCTTAAGCACCTTTTCTAAGTTTGTTTTCTCAATAAATAAATTCATGTTCTCACTAGTCTTTGCCAAATATCTTAATTTGTTAATATTTCAACAATATACCTTTGAAGAACAATTTTCTTTCCCTTTATGCAATCAGTATCTTCTTTAGTGTTTCCTCTTCATTTTAGAATTTCCAGATTTGATTTCAGATGTCTTATTTTAAGAAATAGCATGTATTTAGAATGAATAGAAGAAACTGCTAATTTTATTTTATTTTTAATAATATGTGTATTGAGAATAACTATGAACTGATGACATATGTTAAGGATTGGTGCCAGAGCCAATCTTGCAGAATTTTTAGAATACAGCTATACACCGAGCAACAAATTTTAGAGATGGTAAAATATTTAGAATTTAGGATAGGCACTGGGCAGCAGAAGGTAGGCACACAGATATTTCACCAAGGGGAAAAATGCCTAGTGCCAACCCTATGCAGAGTATACTGACAGACAAAGATGGAACTGTCAATTTCTGTATTAATAGAAAAATTCCTTTATACAGATACAGGTCTATGTGGCAAGTTTATAACCGTTTTTGCAATTTTTCATGCTTGTATCTACGACAAGAAGCGCAAATAAAGGAAAAATTAGCACGCTAAGCAGCAGACATCTAGTATCAAAAGTAAAAAATTCAAATAATTCTGTTTTCATTGTTGTTCCACAAATTGTACAAAATATAAAAAATTCTTCACAATGATCTTGTAAAACATATCAACACGTTAATACCATGAACCATTTTTCATTTTGTCATATTTTTTTGGAATCTTTTGGAATTGCATGTCTATAAATTTCACCTTCAAATCCCTCGAAACTTTCTGCAGTACAAGGTCCAAATCTGAAAGAAAAATCATCAATACCAACTCTTTAGGAGCAAAAAGATTGAAGACTATTTTTTGGGGGAGGAGACAGAAAAGAAAAGTGTAAAGTGAATTTTACACAGAAAACTAATACATGTTTGAATGTTCTCATATAATTACACTTAAAAAAAAAAAAAAAAAAAACTTTTACCATGAAAAAATATAAAAGAAGACAAATCAAATGAATTTTAAAATAATTACAGTAGCTTTTATGCTTTCACTAAGAAATGTTTTGAAAACAGTGCTTTACTGCATTTATTATCTTATTTATTTTTCAGAATCAAAATATTTCAAAATGGAAAGCAGTGTCACCTTAAAAAATGACAGTGAAAATAATTTTTTTTTACAATCATATTATTTATTAAATACCATTTAAAAATATTATCACTATTTCAATGATATTTTCAATGTTTAAAAAAATAAAGAAAATCTTAAAATTGTCAAAATTTGGTTAGCATCTAAATTTAGCAATGCAGAACAAAAGCATTCATATTACAGAATGGGAAAAGTTGTTTTTGATGTAATATTTTATAAACTCTTCATTCAGGGAAAAAAATGTTTATGTTTGATCATAGTAGGAACTTGAGTATCACACTGATTATTTTAGAACAAATTGAAATGATAACTTATCAAATACATATATGTTAATGAAACACAAAAAAATATTCCTTCAAAATCTTAATTCAGTCAGAGTGAGTCGCAAAAAACAGAAATGTCAGATGAGTAAAATTACAGCCCTTCTGCCAATTTTGGCTGAAATTTTAGGAATCGAAAAATCAAAACATTTCAACAAATAAGCAATAATTTATTTTAATTTTTCCAACGAATGAGTAATTTTCGATTAGCATGCCATTGATGTGTCATGAGTAGATCTTAGATGAACACTGAAAATTGTTAAAGATCATTAATTAAAAATGGTATAGTTCAAAAGTTCAAATCACAGCAAGTGCATACATACAAATAAAATAAATACACGAAAAATGAAAAACAAATCTGAAAGCTTTCAGATTTTATATTATGCCTAAAAGTGCATTTTTTCCCTTTCATTTACACATACATGTTTCAAAAGCATTTGGGCTAAAGTTCCTAAAAGGATTAAAAGCATTTAAAAACAACATATCTTTAGAATTTCCAATAGACAGTCTCACTCGCTGGAGATAAAAATGTTTCTTCCCTCCCATACAAAGTTGCCATTGCTCACTTTGAAATCATTGGGTTTGTTAATCAAAAATTCGTTAAACTTTTACAAAATATTAAATAAACAAAAAATTAAATTCCAAATTTGGGCTTTCAGGTGCCCATATTCAGGTGGAGTATTATGTTATTCAAAATTTGATGGCTCTACTTACTGTCGTTTTTTCGAAATGCGAAAAACATACATTCATGCATATTCTTCATTATTCAATTTCTCTAATTTCCTCATGTGTGTCGTCAACTACAGCGCTAATCCTGCGGATTCTTGCTACAGCATAAACAAGGTGATAATATTTGGTGACAACAAATTGAAAAGTAAATGCTCATTTATAGTGAACCAATGCAAAATGCTGTTTTGAGACTAATAACCATTCTCTGTTAAAATACACAATTTTTTAAAAATAAAATAAACTTTTATTTAAAACTCATAAAATCATTAATGAAAGGAGAAAAATAACTTATCATAAGGATTTGTGAAAACAGCACAGTCAATAATTTTCTTTATACAAAATTCCACAATTTTATATTACGAATAATAAAAAGCACCCCTGATAAATTTATGATAAATTTATTACTTATGATATTTTGATTTTGTTATTTAGGTGCTCATACCTTTATTATTTGCGTTATAAAATTGTAGGTGAATTTTGTAAAGATAATTATTAAATCTGTTGTCCAATTAAACTTTGTAATAAATTATTTTTCTCCAAAATGGTTTTGTGAGTTTTAAATAAAAGCATATTATATATATATTAAAAAAAGTTTTTAATTTTTTTTTAAAGTCTCAATGACATGTTAAAATTCAAACCATTCAACTGAAAAATAATTCTTAAACAATGAATACTCATTCTTTTACTTCCAACTATTCTGTTATGTCAAATGGTAAAAAAATTCTACAAATTTTGCAAAAAAATCAGAAATTTCATTAAATCTCATAGAAACTTTATTTAAGGAAAAAAAAAAAAATTTTTTTTTCATTCCACCCAATGTTGCATACATAACAAAACAAAGAGAGTGTATGTAAAATTTGAATTCAATAGCTTATTTAGAAAGTTTAAAAATGGAGATAAAGTTTTGTCCATAGCAATAAAACACCATGGGCGAGTTAAATAAGAGTTTTTAAAAACAAGGTTATATTTTAAAATGAAATTGAATTACAAATAAATTATGAATTATATTTTATATATATATATAATCGAAATAGAAATTGAAAAGCTAACAAATAACGTGACGTAAGACCTATTTGGTCTTAAAAATTTTTTGCACAAAATGCTGCAAAAATATTATTATATATATATATATATATATATTTTAAAAAATTTCATACAAATATCATTTAGAACATTTTTTCCACTCTACCTGATGGTACAAACAGTCAAAATACAGTAGGTGCAACACCTAAGCTGATCATGTTTGTCCAAAATCATTTTGATAACATTAACCAAACAATAGCATTAAGTGTTAAGAAAATTATCCTTGAGAATCTCAATGGAATATAGCTAATTTAATAGAAATATAACAAGAAACATATACATATCTAATTTCAAAGCATTTTAAATATGTGAATAGGAGATTAATATCTGATTGGCTGTATGCTATGCAAAATTTCATTCGTGAATTATTCATATTCATAACGTTCCCGGAAATTATTTGATAGATACAACTTCACAACCATATTCTTCACTGTCAATGTAAATAATGTTTTCTGCTTTCTTCCATCAACTAAACCAGCCATTTGTTGTTACAAAATTACATTACCTCATTTCTATGGTTAATTCTTTGGCTTTATACTGCATCTTTTTCAAGAACATTTATAAACCAAATCTTCAGTGTTTTTCTCAATTGTATAATCTTTTCTGCCATGAATCCACTTTATGTTTTCATTTCAGTTTTGCTTTGATTTGAAAATGAAAGCTTCATGTTTTTTTTTTTTTTTTTTTTTTTTATAGTTGGAATTTTTGACAAGGTTACTCTATCCTTCAAATCATTACGGCTTTTCTTAGATTCTATGAAAAATGATTAAACACTATAAAAAATGAGCATTTACTAAAACAAATCACCCATAAAAATGTTAAAGCTGAAAACAAACAATTTTGGTATGAAAAACTAATGCAATCCAGAGTTCAATTTCATTAAACTGGCCAGTCTAACCGATCTTTCTGAAACTTGGAAAAAGGTTCCATAATGCATACTTTCCTTAAACCAAAATCAAGCTACATGGCAAAATATCTCTGTCCTTTGGCAATTTCTGCACTTTATTTAGCGGTTTCATCTTTTATTCAACAACTTTATTTCAGTTAAAAAAACCATTCTATATTATATCAATAACATTAACCAGCCTGTTGATCACTAAGCAATGCTTCTTCCATGTTTTTGTATACAAATGGGTGGGATTTCAACATTTCAATAACAATATATCAAAAACATTAACCATGATCACATTAAGTGGCATCTGCTGTACCCTTTATACAAGTAAATCATGGTTATGACAAATATAGTATGAGAGGGTGCATTTTAAAACTAATACTTGACTTTTTAAGCTGACAACAAATAGCAAATAACATTTGCATTTGACATTCACTATGGAAATTTCTACAAAGGAATACAATGAACTAAAAGAAAGAAAGAAAAAAAAAAAAAAAATATCATTCATGGAAACTATTTAAAATTAAATAATGAGTAAATAAGTTAATATAAATCAAGTAATGAATGATAAATGTACTTATGAATAATTAAGTAATAAGCATAACAAAGTAAATTAACAGCCAACCTTATATTTTTTCATTGACTGGTAGAGTCTTCCAAGATTCGCATAATGACGAGCAGTTAACACATTCATTTCTCCAAAATATTCTTGGACTAGATGAAGGGCACAGAGATGAAGATCTTCAGCTTCATAAAAAAGACACTGCTGAACTACTTTGTCATTACTATCCAATGCGATCTCTTCAATGATTAGAGCTACAAATCAAAATATAATAGTAATTCATTATTTTCAAATTCAATTTGTTAAACTGAATAAGGAATACTAACAATATAAAAAGATTTTCAGAGATAAGGAATTTTTAATATACTAAGTAACATACTGTTCAGAGAGATCTAAATTAAAATTTTAAAATCAATAAAATAACACATTTTTTATTAGAAACAAGCAACAAATTATAGAAACTATGAAATTAATATTAAAACAATTTTTCCAATAATAAAACAGGTATTAAGATCCTACAAATAAAGTTTGATATTTAAAAGAAGAATGAACAATTTAAACTTTATATATTTTGAAAAAGGTACTTTAGTGTTCACTATTCAAATTTTATGGGGGGGGGACAGAAATTGTTGGCATTCTACTATAAGTATTTGCTATATGTTTTTAAAAACAAATGACCTAATTAAAAAAATGCAGCTACATATCGGAAAATTAAACCTTCTTGTTATTCAATAAATGCAAAAATGTCTAGTATCTATATTTACATTTTATGTATTTATAAAAGAATTACACCTTAACAATTCCCTTTGTTATTCTCAACACTGCTTTAAACATGTAATTTTATGTTTTCGAATTTCTGGGGATTTATTTTAGACAAATTATCATTAGTGGTTAGTTTACAAAATGTTGGTATTTTTTTTTGTTATGCACCTGCTACACATTTTGGCACCTGTAAACCGAACCCAGACACACACTGAGAGTCAAAGATAGTGCTATCTGGGCTATTGTTGTGTGTGTGAGCATATATCTATAAACTATTCTTGCACCTAGAAATTTTTACAACTAAAAAACCCCATGAAACTGCATGTCAGGTGCATAATGGATAGGTACCGAAATGTTTCATGCATTAAACTGGAATGTGAATACAAAATTAAATTGAATTTTCTTTTTTTTTTTTTATTTTTACAATATTTTATGACTTAAATTTTTAATAAAATAGTAATTAATTAATAAATTCCTAATTGAATTACAGGCTTTGAAGACTTTAATCTGAAGCTTATATATATATATAATTTAAAATTAAAACTACACTCGAAGTAAATTCAAATATCATATTTAGTATGGCAAAGTAGAAAAAGAATAAATTGGTATAAAAAAACTGCAAATAAACAATTACTGCATATATTGACATAAGTGAAAAACTTAAATAAAATAACCCTGTAGCAAATTTAAATTATAATTTAAAAGCAAAAACAAAACAATTCCAAAATTACCAGAAAAACCTGTGCAAAAACAAAACTTGAATAAATATTCACTCCCAAAACTCAAGAAATGAGGAAAACATAAATGAAAAATAATATAAAAACAAATGGATTTTACATTTTCCAGAACACTTTCATCAACAGCTGGTGCCTCGAGAATTGTAAAAGAAAATTAATTAGCCTGTTTCTGAGCTAACAACTGCACAACTCAGAAATTTAATATTTAGAAAAGAATTTTAATCAGGAAAAAAAAAAAAAAAAAAAAAAAAAAAAAAAAAAAAAAATCGCGCAATTAATAGCACAATCCTTACAGAATGGAATCCAAGAGCACTTGGCTTAAACATTTAATAGCACAATCCTTACAGAATGGAATCTGAGAGCACTTGGCTTAAACTATAAAATGAATGAATGAATAAATAAATTATAAAATATGTAAAGTGAAAAACAGAAAAAAAGAATGTAGTATAAAGAATAAATTAAAAACTTTAATAAGAATGTGTCCGCAAACAAAAAAACAAAAACAAAAACAACAAAAAAAAAAAAAAAAAAAAAAAAAAAAAACCTGTAATATGGAGTAACACAAGCAAAATCGGACAACAGAACAGTCAACGATAAATCATAAAACTAAACTTTTGTTAAAGAGAACATAAACAGTAATTGCATAATTAATGAACAAAATTTTTAATTTTTATTGAGAAAAATGTGAAAATTAACCAGAAAAGGAAAGCTTTGAATTATAAATTTAAAAATTAAATAGTAAACAGAACAAAAAAAGTCTATAAAAATAATTGGTACTATTTCGTTTTCAGGACTGTAAAAAATCGCCAAACTATTGTTGATGCGGAAACCCTAACGCAAGAAAGGAAATATAATAGTAAATAACTATCTAAGATTATTGTTTTAATTTAGATGAAAGGTTAATTTCATATAATACTTTTTTATTATTATAATTTATATAAAAAGGCTAAACAAACTGAATGGAAGCATAAGAGTAAATAACTATTTCAGATCATTATTATAATTTATATCAAAAAAGGCTAAACATAACTGAATGGATTCCTGCACAGCTATTTCGCTACCGAGTTATTGCTGAAGCATAATTTGATCTCGTTGGTTGTTCAAACATAATTTTCTATAATGAATGATGCCTATTCTTTGAAAAAATTCTATTGCAGACTTTTCGTCACTGGGCAATTTCAAAATTGTTAAATCCATAGCGTTATCAGAAAAGGATTTAAAAATCAAACTAGTATTTCAATGGCATCTTAAGAAATATAGAACTATCTAAAATTATGCAATTTGAAATCAGCGCATACGCTAGATTTGGCGCTTTTGCGAATACATTGTCAGTGCAATTTTTTTACGGTCAGTGATTGTTGATAGCAATTGGTAGTTGTGGACAGTATTTTAATTCATAAAAGTCAAGTTGAGAAACTTAACAACATTTATTTTCTTTCAATAATAATAATGATGCTTAAACAGGCAAAGAGTGAGTAAGGAACAATTAACAATTGATTGCCGCTTTGTTCGGGCAGAGGAGTGGAGACTCGGTGTGGACCGAGTGCATCCCTATCGCTTACTGATTAGCACTGGGCTCTTGCCATTAACATTACGTAGCGCTGCAAGCATTAAGCCAGTACAAATAGACATAAATATTCTAACCGAGACGGAACATAGTGATTTTTGCTTAAAAAAATGAAATGTTTTTCAGGAAGGAGTGCAAACCTTTTCAAAAGTGTCCCCTTTCTTTATTTGGGTCAATCTCTATTACAAAATCAGACAATTCCTGTACTTTTTTTAACAATTCATTTAACTTCTTTAAAGGTTCTTTATCTTCTTTACTATTGTTGCTTTCAGCTGGTGTAATTAAGATAATCTAATTCTTCATTTGTCATTTCCAGACCAATGACTATGGGTTCTTTTCATCCATTATTTAGCATCAATCATAAAACAAATTTGTATATTTTAAATGTTTTTTATTCACTGTAATAGTTCTTAAGATTAAAAAAAAAAAAAAAAAAAAAAAAAAAAAAAAAAAAAAAAAAAAAAAAACCATTCAGAGCATTCTGCATGATTTCGCTGCTTTTCTGTGCATCTCGCTGTCGCTGGCATTTTCGCTCACCATTTAACTTCTTGTACATTAAAGTCAAGTCATTCTCAACTAATTCTTTGATTTCTCCTCCTTCCACATTTGAAAATTCTTTAGCACCAATGCAATTTGTGTGAGATTCTTGACTTTGTTTTCAATCGCTAGGCATCCTTTAAAATTGCTGACAACTTCTGGCCAATGCTGATGCCAGCAAGCATTCGTTGATGAATTCATTTGTTTCCATGCGAGTTTAATCATTTCTATGCAGTGTTTTATGTTCAGTTGCTTCCAAAATGCCATTAGCGTGCTGTGCTTTATTTGCAGACATGTAAACATGCTTGACATAACAGGCTTTGAATGTTTTCATGGCTCCTTGGGTCACTGGGAGGAATAAAACTTCTACATCTGGATGCAATGTTGTACGGGCTTCAGTACCATGTCCTGGAGTGCTATTAAGAATTAAGATAACTTTACAGCTCTACTAAGTAATGTTTGACTTTTTTAATGAATAAATTTTCAAACCAGTCATTAAACAGGAATATTGCAACATACCACGTATAACTGAAATTCTTGAAGAGAATAAAGATAATAACTACACAAAATCGCGTTCTGCAAGTTTAGACATAAACAATGCTAAGAACACCTTTTACAGTGTTAAGAAGTGAAAAGAGAAATAATTCTCTCATAATGTAGCAAAGAAGTTTTGCTATTTCCACATAAAATCTCAGACAATGTAATGAAACTTATTTCAACTTTCTTATTTAAACATTGTACTCTAATCTGAAAAGTGGGCAGCAACATTGCTTTCTGCCATTTTTCCACTATCCAAGATTCAAGCACAAAAATGTTTTTGTCAAGCATAAGAAAAAAAAGGCCTGAGTAAATAATGCATAAAAGCAAAGAAGGCTAACAAGCAAATTTACAGTCTGTTTCCTTTACATCATCTGAAAATCAAATAATCATTGCAAATATAAGCACAAACCTAGTCACCCCATTCTCTTTATATATAATATCTGATTGCAAATTAATTACATGCAAAGACGCACCTTTGACCCTTTTTGGTGAAGCCCATAGAAGATGATCAGCATTTAGAAGATTTGCTTTAATTTGCAAAGCTTTATCCACATGATCTCTATGGAAGGAAAAAATAAGTATTACTCTTAATTAAAAAGTAATCAATTGTTCACAGCCACTAAAAAATAAGGCATTCATCAAGCAATATTATAGAAATAACAGTCGTTAATATAATTTGAGAAAAAAAACCTGATTGCCTTCCTATTTTATTATGGTCATGAAGATTTCATTTATTTATTATAAAGTGGAATAATAATTAATAATCAGATTTTATTAGCCTATCAGTCAGTTAACAGTAATACCCTGCACATAAACAACTATAGAAAGAAACTCAGAATATAATTTTAGATTTTTACAACAGACTACTTATGATTACAACAATTTATATTTTTTGGAAATTGAATGCATTGTTGCAAGATCTGACCTGATGCTGATTCTTAAATGCCAGTTATAAATACTAATCATACTTGTAGATGAAGTATTTATTTTAAAGATGTTTAATGTCCTTAATGAATTGAAGCAAATGCCTGAAATCTTTATGACCATAATAAAAAGATCAATCTAATATTGTTGTTATCTTTAAAATTTAAAGAAATTACAATTTTATTTCTAATATAATATATGTTATATTGAATCTGATATGAATTTAAAACTATTAATCTTGAATATTATTAGTACAATAAATTTAATATATATAGCTCTCAATAAACTTCATAAGTGATTCTTATAAAATCATTTTTTTAAACGCAAATACCCTATTAAATAAAGAGATTATTTTAATATTCTTTCCCACTAAAAGTAAATAACCACAGACTTTATTAACATGAATAAACCATGTCCATGTGTAGCAAAGGATTATTAATCCATTAATTAATGCGCACTAAAATTCTTCCATTAAGCTGAATCAATTTTTTCGAAGGGAACCCACTCTGTTGGACAACAAAGTTTATAAAATCAATTAAAAAATAAGTGGTTAAATTTTTATTTAGAATCTAAATATTTAACCAATTTTTTTTTTCTTTCTATAAAAACATTGCAACAGGTGAACATATTGTCCAGTATCTAATTATCAGCATATATTTGAAAGTCATTTACCAGACACAGCCAATGAAAAATTTTGGAGTTCACTTTTGTACCCTATTTTTCAATACGAAGTTTAAATGCCATTAAGAACATCAGAAAATTTTCAAAACATTCTGTAAACAGTAAAATAAATATTTAAATTGAAATACACCTGTTCCTGGGCATAATAAATGCATTCTTAAAGAATCCATTGCAGAAAAAAATAAAATGCAGTAAATCTGACACAAAGGTGAAAACTCATCGTTTTTTCTTCTCTTCCCCCTTAGCGTTTTCTACTTGTAACATTCACTTATCATTTACATTCCATATTTACCTCTTCTTCATATGCATATAAAGAAAAATATTCTTTTTTAATGCAAATTAAGCCTGCTTTTCTTAATTACCCAATTCATTAAATTCCTTTTCCTCTATTAAATAATATTATAGTATTAGTCTTAGTAATGTTATTAAAGGAAATCAAATAATTCGCAAAATAAAGTAAACTTTTCGGCACTTGGACTCACAATAACAAGAAAATTCATGCAAGGTTTTTTTAAAAAAAGTCATTAACTGAATAATTATGAGTTAAATGTAGGAAAAGACCTAATTCACTCAATCACACTAGCTAATTATCATGCACGTTAGTTCATACAATAATATACTAGTATTTTATTTTTCCTCACAAATGATTCCTCAGATGAAGAAATAACCAATAAAGTTACAGTTACAGATGTGCCCCTCTTAAAACTACATATATATACATTAATATGGAAAAATACAAGGTGTTTGAAAAAGATGGCACACATTTAAGAGGTGTAGAATACACTGAAATTATTATTATTTTTGTCATAAAATACCTAATCAAAAATAAAATATAAATAATATACAATGCTTGCTTACTAGCAAGTGACCGTTCCACAAGCATAAAATTGCTCTTCTGCACGTAAACTATAATTTGCAACTTCAACTTTTGAAGTAGTACAGCAAGATAAAATGGCAAGCCAAGCAGTAATCATTAATGAAGTAAACTAAATATAAAACTGCTAATAAGAACAGTAAGAAATTGCAATAAATATGTGTAGAGTATTTTCAAACTAGTGGTTACCAAATCATTTTCAGTGGCTCCATCACCAGATGCAGGCACTAAAAATGAATGAAGAATCATTAGTTTGAAAATACTTCATGTACTCGTATAATTATTATTCATTACTAAGTATGATACAGGTAGTTGAAAGAATCTCAGGTATGGGAGAGAACAATCTAAGCATAGTAGAAGTTTAGTCACATAGAATAATATATAATGAAAACAGTGGTGCATAGCATCAGTTAGCCCCATTCCATGATGTGGTGAATTTATAAGAGGAACATTTGCATTCACATCATTGCCAGAGAATGCAAATTTTAATTGCTGTAGATTATCTGCCTGTGCAGAAGCAGAGTATAGGCATGTGAATTCTGCCTGTGCAGTAGCAGAGTATAGGATAGCAAGATTTTCTGATAGCTATTCTTCTCATGGATGAAGCCATTTACACAAGTGATAGCATAATGGGCATGATGACAATGCACACATGTGTATTAGTACAAACCTACAAACAATATGTCAACATATAACATCAGCAACCATTCTCCATAGATGGGCAGGAATCTTTCACAACAATATTGCGCTACATTTCATGTTAAAGTCATTGGTACTTATGTATTAACGCCACCGCAGAAGTTGCGCTGATGTGCCAATAAAGAGCAATCCTGTTGTTTGAACGCAGTTATCTTTTGGATTCTTTTTTGCTTTGTTCTTTGCTGATTTTGTCCCCCATTTTTTAGTGCTACGAAAATGAGTCTTTGGGATTTGCCAAAGAAGAAGACGTATTTTTTTTTTTTTTTTTTTTTTTTTTTTCAAGTTTAAGACACTGTTTGATATGGAGAATAAACCAAGCAAGTGTAACTTAGAAAAGACAACTGGTTTGAAGGAAACATAATTCCATTTTGTTCAGCTTTGAGATTCATATACTGCTGGTGTGAGGAGCTGACGTCGATTAAATTTTGTGAAAAACAACTTGATTCATCGGATAAAACTGTTATAGATTGAAACAATTGCATGTGTGAATTATTGTGTTTTTGATATGGAGAATTATTGTGTTTTTGATATGGAGAATTATTGTGTTTTTGATATGGAGAATTATTGTGTTTTTGATATGGAGAATAAACCAAACAAGAAAGTAGGTGGACCAGATTGTATTGTGGAAATTGATGAAAGTTTGTTTACTAAGCGTAAATATAATTGTGGTTGAGTACTGTATGAACAGTGAGTGTTTGGTGGTATATGTAGAGAAACAAAAGATTCGTTTGTATGTCACTGTTCCTAATAGTGTGTGTGTGTAATTATGGCAAAGCCTCGAGGACTATCCTGTTCCTAATAGAACTGGTTCTACCCTTCTTAATAAAATTATTGAAAACATTGCAGATGGTAGCACAAATTTATTCTGACAGTTGAAAAGATTACCAAACAAATAGACACTCAGTAAGGAAGGAAGGGAAAAGAAGGAATCCTACATGCTAAAGTTAATCATAAATACAATTTTATTGATCCTAATACAGGAGTTCATACACAAACAGTTGAGAGAATGTGGGGCAGTGCTAAATGGAGGAATAAGAGACATAGGGAGACAGCGAGACATCATTTAGAATCTTATTTAGCAGAGTACATATAGTGACAGCATCAGGTCAAAGAAAATAGAAACTGTTTTGAATCTATGTTAAACTCTATATCGGCCCATTTTTCACCGAAATCCGATTGACTACTTTGATTTTATATAAAGTGTTTTGATTTTTGAAGGTGTTTTGATTTTAAATAAAGTGTTTTAATTTATGATTTGTCGCAAAAATTTTAGGTGTAGATTGGCGACACTTAAAAATCGCCAAATCTGCAGCTGCGATGGCATTAATACGTAAGTACCATAATATTATACCTTCTTTCAAGAAAGTCTTGCCATAATTGCTGTAGGATGTTCTAGCAGCCATTTAGCTGCCCATATGGTTCCAACACAATAAGACAAAAATTTGATAAGACAACAATAGCTATCTGGATGTAAATTTCTTTCAGAGCCAGAATATTCAAAAGCATCATCTTCGATTTGATGAAGAACTCTTTTTCCAAAATTTAGGTCACTACTGCAGCTGTGTGACTGGTGTGCTTGAGAAAGGTTTGCCAAAGTAAAAGGCAACTCCTGATTAGCATTCTTATGTTTGCATTTTACTTTTCACCTTCAACATCTTGCATCTTTACATGGTATTTCTAATCATGCATTCTGTGATTTAAAAAAATGAGCTGTTTTGTGTATTCTACCAGTTTTTAAAGTTTGTTCTATCTTTTCTCAAACATTCTGTTATTTAGCAAATCTTTGATTCTCTAATAAGATTCAATCCAGGATAATGACCATAAGGAAATAATCGGGGAAGCTGAAATTCATCACAGCACAGAAAAGATCACTTGGCCATGTTATAAAAAGTTTGAAACTCTGAAAACATACAAATCTCACAACAGACTTTTACGCAGCAAACATAACACATTTCTAAGATTAGCAACAAATCTTACAGACAATGAATGAACAGCTAAAAAATTCAAACTGTACGTAAGATGCTAAATGAATTCTAGAAAATCTAGCTAAAATAAAAGATTAAGAGATCAAGACAGTTTTTTAATTGGTATTAACAAGATAGTTTTAAGTATTATACAGTAATGGGAAAAATTACAACTATTATGTCCTCAAACAAGCAACAAAATATATTCTTTTGTTGAAAGAAACACAGCCTCAAAGAAGATCTGATGACACCCTTCACAATGAAGCATAGATTAGTTTCCCCTAAACAGTTGCCATGAATTGAATCTGAATAATTATCATAAACAGATTAAATTACTACTACTACTAAAAGAACTAGAATACAGGTACAAATGCAAAATTACAATAAAAACTGTCCTAATAAACAGCACATAATTTTTTTTCTTTATTTGCTACATGTATATCAATTCATTACCATCACTATAATAATACATATCACACCTATCTAATTCTTAAAAAACATGTTTGTTTACACACTCCTAATGTTTGAAATAAATCTCTCAAAATGGAACTAAAAGCTGAAATGCAAATTAAAAGACACATTCAATTGGGGATAAAATTTTCTAATTTATACAAACATACCTTGAATTATTAAAATGTCCTGAGCTGTATTCATACACATATAAAGCATATGCTAAATCTTCATGAGCCATTGCCACAAGTATATTTTTTCCACCAAGAATACTAGCTCGCAAATCCAGCGCATTCTACAAAAAAAAATATTTATATTTCAGATAAGAACATACAGACATTTCAAAACAACATGCTTAAGATCATAAAAATATTACTTACTTGGTACACATTCACTGAATGACTAATAGCATCAACATGCAAAAGATAAAAGCCATACACTAGCAAAGTATCAGCCATAACCAGATTTCTCTGACCAAACTGCTCTCTACAAAAAAAGTTAAAAAATTTTAACAATCAAAAGACATTTAAAATAGTCTGATGGATATTCAGAGTACCGAAAATAGTTTGGGATTAATAGTTAAAGATTTATGACTTGAAATTTAAAAACAGTCTGAAATTATTGATAATAACACAGTCCATTCACTTACACACATTTCATTAAATTCTGAGTATATTTATAGTTTAATAAATTTATAATTAAATTTTATAATAATCATTTACTTAATTACATTATTCTGAGTACATTTATACTAAGTTAACAGAGAGGAGTTATAAACTCTCTCTGTTAACTTATATATAACAATGTATAAGTTAACAGAGAGAGATCAAATTCCTTATGTTAAACTTTACTAACAATAAAAGTTTAGAAATTTTGATTTGATTGTTTAGGAACATTTAAAATAGTCTGATGGATATTCAGAGTACTGAAAACAGTTTGGGATTAATAGTTAAAGATTTATGACTTGAAATTTAAAAACAGTCTGAAATTATTGATAACAATAACACAGTCCATTCACTTACACACATTTCATTAAATTCTGAGTATATTTATAGTTTAATAAATTTATAATTAAATAATCATTTACTTAATTATATTATTCTGAGTACATTTATACTAAGTTAACAGAGAGGAGTTATAAACTCTCTCTGTTAACTTATATATAACAATGTATAAGTTAACAGAGAGGAGACCAAATTCCTTATGTTAAACTTTACTAACATTAAAAGTTTAGGAACTTTGATTTCCATAACCATTTTTTCATCATAATATGACTAAAGATAATGAAGGTCATATATAGTAATGAATGAATAATGAATCAAAAGGCAGAAACCATAAAAACACTAAAAATGGAAACAAAGATGCACAAATTGATGAGCTTTCTACCCTTTTGTTAAATATTAGAATACCAAAGCAATGAAAATAGAACTGGAAATCTTGAATGATGTCTGAAATACACTAGGATTAGTTTTGCATGTATACAAAAGAAAGATATGACATGCTATTAAAAAACATGCAAATGGGCTCATTTATGAATAACTAGAAACACAATATAATACATTAAATACAGCAACTGATACACACATTCAAAGATCATTTGCATTTCTGAACAGTTGCAACCAAAAGATCATACGAGGAACTGCATGCATAGGGAGCAAACTATTTTATAACATGCTGGAAAAGTGTCTAAGTTCTACAAAACTGAAATCTGCACTTCTACTCAATACCAAGACCAGAAACCTGTATACGCTATTCAAAGAAGTGATCATGATGCTGTACTGCTAATAATTTGAGAGAAAATATCTCTTCAGACTTTCAAGTGGTAGTGACAGTGTCAGAATATCAAATTTAGCAGTGGATATTGTATGTTTCAAATGTATATTTTGAATAGGAGGTACCCCATAATGCACCACTACAATGAAAACTGCACACAATAATTTCATACAGAGGAGAGTATTATAAACTTTTAAAGAAAGTTATTTAAACCATGTTTAGGATAAAAGGTAGCATATCTGGTTGAACAAGGTCCTGAAGCAGGGCCGGGCCAGCATTGGCCTGCCAGAAATTAAAAAAAATATATATCTGTACAATATATTTATAATATATAATATTATATGTTAAATACAGTAAACTGTTGTTAACACATATCTTAAGGGACCAAAAAATCAAAAGCTTGTGTTAACTGAAAATTCAAATTTTACTTTTGGATTAATTTCCACCAATGAACCACTTACAGTACGTAGTTACATAAGCACAACAATATATTATATATGCCATAATAGAAAATACTATAATACTGCATTGACTACTGTACTATAGCTTAAAAAAATGCCGTAACAGATAATTTTTAATGAAAAATTCATGTACATTGCGCTGCCACAGACGAGAATAGAAATGCCTGGTAACATCACGGCCAACTATACGCATAGCTTTTATAAAACTAGCAGTCAATTTGGATGTTATAGCAAAACGTTAAGGCATGTAACATTGTCTAAGGCATGTAATATTACATGGAGTGTAGGCAGAATGATATAGTTCTCCTCACTTTCTTTTGATGACCTTCCTAAACCTCAGGCACAACTGCTTGTATATCAGATTTTACTGCAGCACACATAGGAACATCATCATCTGTGCTAACAAACTCCTCAGTACTTAACCAAGGTTTACAACATCTTACAAACATTTCCATTCATTAGGTGAAGTGGTATCACTGTCACTACCTAACTTGTCCACATGATTAGTGTTTTCATGTCTCCAGGCCCTGCTAAAATAGTTTTACATGTGTTGTGATAATATGGATTTCAAGGATGTGGCGAGAGCTTTTATTGCATCAAACACACTCTAAGTTGGCCTTTCCGCCTCCTTTTTAGCAGCATGAATTGCAGCTCTCGCAAGCCGCTTGCAATAAGTCCTCTTTATAACTGCAATAATGTCTAGATTCAAAGGCTGAAGATAACTTGTTGCATTTTTTTTGAGGGGAAGGAATGAACCTTACATTGGTTCCTTACATTTAAGTTCACATCATGTATATTATGGGCTACACACAGAACTTTCAGAAAATAAAGACTTGTCGGTGTGTGCTGAAAATTTCTACAGTCCAGTAAATGTATATAAATATTTTATTGTAAATGAAATTAATTTAAATTTTAACTAAAATTATTCATTTAATATGCTGTGCCCTACTGAATTTTAGGAAGAAGAAAAGATACTCTCTCTCAGTTACTATAACTGCTGACACTGGAAGAAGAGAGGTCAGTAATTTTACCTCATTAATTCAGAATTATTCAAGATATAACATTAGTTGCACTATCTATTTATAAAGAATAAAAAAGCACATCTGGACACAGAATTGCATTAGTCGATTGAAGTTCATTGCCGGCGCAAAAATCAGGATTTTGAGCAATGTTACTCATACTGGTTACGATTTAAAGAATGCGTGTATTCTGTTAGGTTTTCAATTAAACAGGAAGGAACACTTCTGAATGTAGTCTTAGTGGAGAAACAAAAGGAAAAAATAAGAAAAACTTTGAAAGTCTGTGTTAAATAACAAAATCTAATGATGCAGTAGACTAAAAAACAATTCATGGTTCGCATTCACCAAAATACGTGATAAAACTTCTTATGAGATAACGTACAGCGTTGATGGGAAAAAGTTTAGTTCACATTAACCAAATGTTCACCTAAAGTGAGTTTGTGTTATGAGGCATTTACTGTATTACTATACTAAACAATATATATTTTATACTATACAATATATATTATGTACTAAACAATATATATTATATACTATAAAATATATATTATATAGAGCTCACACCAAAACAGAAAGGGATGCCATGTGGTTGGCGTGGAAAACAAGTTCATGTAGAAAAGATCTGCTATCTCATTTCATCAATAATTACACTGCACATTTTCAGCTCAGCACAGTGCCTTTCTGCTGGGAGATGAGCAAAGAAAAGTGTAACAAGACTTGCATCTCTCCTTGAAAATTTCTTTGAAAGCAATCTTTATTGATAGTCTTTTTAAAGGAATATAAGCACTTCCCCCCCCATTTTTAATGAAAGTGAAAATTTTAATTTCACAATGAAGCTCTCTTTATGACTTTTAACAGCAAACATTGATAAAGCAGGAGATAATAGATGATACCACATAACAAACAGATGAATACCTGTCTATACTTGCCTGTGGTCACGAGTTTTTATATTACTGAATGTGTCTACATTGAATGGAAAGATGGTGGACAGACAGCATCATAGTGAATAGGAGTGAAATTATTAAAAAGTACAGTGTTGTCAGTGCTTGTTTGGGTTATTGCGGATATATCAACCCCAAAATATCCATTATAAACATGAAGTTGATTCACAGTGTTATGCTTTTAAAGATGAATAGACCTGAATTTTTATATATATATATAGTTGTAAAGGATAAATCTTGTCTTGTCTGCAATGAAGTTGTAGCATTTCTTCAAAGCATACAACATTTCTTATCATTTCACATCAAAGCAATAAGAATTCAAATTACAAAGCAATGTCTGAATCTGCAAGAAAACAAAAAGCAGAAAATCCTTGCAAAGAATTATCAGGTTGACAAATTTGTTTTAAGAAAGTAAACAGCATCCAGGAAGCAGCTACACATGCAAGTTACATAGTAGCATACAATATTGCTAAAATTAATAGAGCTCTCAGCGATGTGGAGATCATTAAACAATGCATGCTCAAGTTTATGATGTTTTATGTCAAGACAAGAAAAAGGATTTTGAGACTGTATGCTTATCTTGACGTTTATCTTGTAAAACGATAACTTCTAGTGTCATAGTCATCCATAAAAATCACTTCACAGTTCAAGTCAAAAACTGGTCAGTTTAAATTCTGCTCCATAGCTATGGATGAAAGCACTAATATAATGACTCTAATTAACTAGATTTATTTATAAGAGGTGTTGATGTGGAATTACCAAGGAGCTGGCATGCATGCAGTTGTTAAAGGAAACTACAATGGCATGTGATATTTTTCGTGAATTTCTGGAAGAGCTTTCAACTTTGAAAATACCTACAACAAACATACGTAATATTATGATGATGGATCACCCAAACATAATAGGGGGGATTGGATTTTTTTCATTCTTTAATCAAAATTATTCCGAGAACAATGCTGTCTTTCTACGTTGTGTTATACATCAAGATGCCCAGTGTATGTCCGTGCTGAATAGGAAACCTGAGTTTGACGTAATTGTGAGGCTTGCATTTGATCTTGTAGACTTACTGGCAATTTGAAGATTTCTTTCAGTATATGCAGTCTGAACACTCCGAGGTGCTGCAAAAGTAAATTGGCTTAGTTCAAGATGTGTTTTTGAGCAAGTTTGGCAGCTGAAAGAAGACACTGTGTCATTCTTCTATGAGAAATAATGTTCAGGGGAGTGGGAAGTGTTGGGAAGTACAGCATGGTTTTCAGACTTTTCATTTTTCACAGATCTTTGTCACATGAACAACTTAAATGTCAAGATGGAAGGAAAAAATTCATTTATCAATGATATTATGTCCCATCTAAAAGATTTTAAACTAAAACTTGGTCTGCTTACTAAGCACTAGCTAAGAATGACTTGTTTTATCTCCTGAGGTTAAATTCAGTATCCTCAGTAAATGAAGAGAAGCTTAAGGGTTATGCAAATGGCCTAAGAAAACTGCACTTTTCTTAGGCCATTTGCAGATTTCGAGATTTCAATGCCATTCAAACAGAACTGGGTATTTATACCATGCCTTTTAATTGTGAAGCAGTGAGGTCGAATTTGCAGCTTGAATGCATTAAATTATAATCTAACAATCACCTCAAGTAGTTGTTTCACAGTGGTTTAAAATTAAGAGTTTTACGAATCATTACTAACAACAAATTTTCCAAATTTAGCAATTCATGCCCAGAAAATTACTGCTATGTTTGATTCTTTAATAGTATACATCAACACGTATTTTCTACCAATGAACATTCGAAAGAATTCTATTCGAAACAAACTGACAGATGAGCATTTAGTATCATTTCTCAAAATTAGTGCATTGCAGTTTGAACCTATTTAAGGAACGTTTAAAAAAGCTGTTGCAGTTTCATTCACCACATTAATATTTGTGTACTCTTTTTAAAGTTTTAGAATAAATTATATTGGCCATCTAAAATTTTTTTCTTTTATTTTTTGGCTCACTCTGAAAAATGTTTCCCCATCATAAGGGAATTTAAATCTCACTACCCTCAAAGGGTTAAAAGACTGATTTTTATGTTTTTAAAATGCCTTCCTAATAATCAAATGGTATATACGTAGGTACTTTATTACGGAAAAACAATCAGAGCTATCTTTGTGAAAGATTTTCAGGGAAAAACAGGCTTGCATTTGCTTTTACAGACAGAGGAGGAAAATATGAAAACTATCTGCAGCCACTGAAAATCAAATAAAGATCGGCTACCAGCATTTGGTGTTCTTATGCACCGAATTGCAAAAGGGCCAAGTAATACATAAAAGTTTGCTATGTGCTAGTTTTGCATATTTATAAAGTATTAAAATTCTAATCTTACATATTAGCATAACTACCTTAGAAAAGTCACCAATTTTTCAGAATTCATCAAATTGTACATATAACTATTAGTTTGAATAAAAGCATGATCATTTTTATGGATTCTTTTTAGTTATATTATAAACTATAATACTTTTTATTGGCAAAATTTAGTATTTTTTTATCTTGAACTTGGTTTTAAAAATACAAACTTAGAAGATTTGCCTGTGACAAAAGAAATTGTCATAAAACTTCTGCAGAAATACAATATTTTGCTGTAAAATCATGAGTGTTCAAATTTTCATTTGATGATGTAGTATTTCAAAAAATTTGAAAATGCAGTGTGAAAAATTGTAATGAGCACACTTGGATTTGAATAAGGAATTAGTTTGAAAATAGTCAACTGCTGATTGCTATAACAGTCAGATTCATGTACTGTTGCAGTAAAGAATCAACCTGAATTAAATTCTGTTATGAAGAGTTAGAAATGGCTTTATAGAGCTGTGATATGTTGGAATAGTTATACTTAAGATCTGTATCTTGGCAGCGTTCCAAGAACTGAAAATGATTCATGGAAAGATCTAGTCATTGAAATAAATGAGTTTGTTTACAAATCGGAATCACACTGCGGACATGTTTTGCTTCCACAATGGATTCTGAGAGAAATCTACCCAGAACGGAAAGCTATTTTCTTATATACAATTCCTAATAGAGGTGCAGTTATATCAAAGTAGAAAATAAATGTAAATGTTAAGCAAGAAAATATCTACTCTGATTGCTGATCTAAAAGCTCAAGAGCCAGAAGTTGCATTTATACGCAGAATGGTTAATCATACATACATACATTTTTTATCCAGGAACTGGCATACATATGTAACACATAACAAGAATGTGGGGATCCGCTCAGTGGTGCAATAAGAAGCATGTTGACAGGCCATAACCACCTCGAATCACATTTAGTGGATTTATATACAGCACTAAGATCAGACCACTAAACAAAACAACTGGTGCAAAATTTCTACCAGAAGAAAAACTTGTTTGCAAGTACATTTACTAAATGATTTTGGTGATAAATATCTAATTAGAATTAAAATACATAGGTAATAAATATGCATGAAATAACTGCTTTACAATTCTAAGCCATCATACGTTTTCCTTCAAAAACGTTGCCAAATTGCTCTGAGGTAGTTCTGCTAATATGCAAGTACCATTTCTCTACAATATGAATACCACGTAGTTCTTAATGAATTTAATATGTGATCTACCTACAACTTTAAAGGGTTTTATCAACAAATAATAGTTATCTTTTGATTTACAAATATAACTCAGTTTAAGAATTTATAAATATTTCTTACTTTGTCTTTTCCTTGTGTAATTTTTTTTCCTACATAAAAATACTTTTCTATATTTTTTGTATTAAAAATGTAGCAATATTTCTAAAGCATTTTCTTTGCAATAATTAAGTGCACATAACTGAAAAATAAGATATAGATAACCTTGTAAGATGTAATGCCTGTTTGATTAACATCCCAGCTCTTTTCAATTCTCTTTTCACAATACTTGCCTGAAAAGACGAAAGTAGGAACTAAGACAATTCCGAAGAGGAAGTCAATACAAAAATGTTTTATGGAGAAAACAGAAAGTATGAGAGGAAATTTTTAAATGTTTTACAACAGAAGGAAAAAATAGAATGCACTTTTAAAAAAGCTGCAATACTAGTTAATCAATGTGCATGCAATACATTACTACGATAATGGGGGGGGGAAATACTCACTTTTGTAGAAGCTCGAAGAACATGAATAATTTCCTGCAAAATTAAACTCATTAATGAAAATTAAAAAGCAAGAAATAGACAGAAAAACAATTAATACAACACACTGCAATTGAAAAATTCAAAACTAAACCAGACCTTTTTTTTAAAATGACATACAGTCGTTTTCCCATATTTCAATCATACACTTCAATTATGCAAATTATTATTATTATTATTATTCAAATTATTTTAAAAAGTGCCAAGTTTCATAAAAAACATCTGAGTAGTTTTTTTTTTTTTTTTTTTTTAAATTTGGTCTCAAAATTTTAGCTTTCTCCATGTTAATTGAATTTGGTATATACTTATTAATATCTCTTTTTTATTAAACTTACAGGATTCCTTCTTTCAGAATTCAAAATTTAGATTCAATCCAAATAAAATGTGCACATTTTTTATGATTCATTTTTAAAACCTGTATTTTAAAATAATTTTTACAATTTTTTTTTGAAATAATTCCTGAAATACAACCTATAAAATTTTTAACATCTTCTTAAAGTATATGCATTTCTAGGCATATCTGCAAAAAACTGAATTTATTATTCAAAATTTCACAAAAATTGATATATATCAATTTTAATATATTGGCACATTCTGAAATTTGGAATATTTGTTATAAGAGATAATAACGTCAAATATGGTTTCCACACTTTGTTATAATCTTCAATGAAGTGCAACAGCTATTCTGAACCTTAAAGTTCCAAATAATTTTTACTGGAGAAGTTGCGGCTTTATGTCCAAACTGAGAGTAAAATAAAAAAAGTTATTTAAACTTTCTTCCATACTTCGTGAGTTCTCCAAGATATAGCAATAACTCGATGTCTGTCTAGTAGGGCCTGCAGGATTTTAACTGTAGTTTCCAGGTATAATAGTAAATAATAGCAACCCTATGCATTCTAACTTACTGTTTGATTTGCAAATATTGAAAGTATTATTACATTTTCAGGCATAAACAGCAGCTTTGTGAATGTGTTAGTTTTTAAACTACCAAGCGTAGTGCGAATGAATGTTCAATTACATTTGCTATTATTGTATTTGTTTGGTGTTCCCGGGTCTAAACTAAAAATGAAACAGTTGTCTCCCCATGTTATTCATCACGGGATAATTAAACAGGTGTTCAGACTAAGTGACACATGGTCTATCTTGCAAGCTGAGGTTTATCTTGCAATCAGATTTAAAAATCATCAGGGTATAAGGCAGCTAAAAATTGCAGGTGAAAAAGCTTCAGATGATATTGAAGCAGATGAATTCTTCAAGCTCATTAATAGTGAAAAAACTATCTCCAAAACAAAGAAATAACAATTCAGAAGTCAAACAACAAAAATCAGCACTATATTTACAAAATTTTCACAGGACTAGTTTCGATGGTTTTACCGAACCACCATCTTCAACTGCAAAACCGCAAATGAAGAAGATAGGAAATAATGATTAGATAAGATAAGAAAGCCTGGACAAGAATAAGCAAGTGGCGCCTCTAAAAGCCGAAGGCAAATTTGGATTGGAATTAGGATCGTTAACTAGAACAGAAAGATTTTTATGAATGTGAAATGCCTCTAGAAAATCCAGTTCTCCAATGGAAGATGTTTTTTGAATAATTTTGGCAGCAGAAAAATTGAAAGTGTGATTTTCGGACCAACAATGTTGAGCAACAGAAGACTTCTGTGTTTCCTTTTTTCTAACATATGCCTCATGTTCTTTGACGCGAAATTTTAAGGCTCTCTTAGTTTGGCCAACGTAAATTAAACCACACTGGAAAGGAATCCTATAAATACCCCAGGAATTCATATCCGGAATGGGGTCCTTGAGTATAGAAGACGGAATTTTATTGATGGGAGAATAAACAACCCGAAAGTTAAATTTCTGCAAAATATGTGCAACTTTATAGCTAATTGATGGAAAGAAGGGAATGACAACAGAATTTTTATAATCTCCTAAAAATAAGAGTGTGGCTTTTAGTGTGTTGAGATGAGAATTTTTTAACTGCTTGATTAATAATGTTGGGTGAAAAGCCCCTGTCAATAGCTATTGCTTTTAAATAATTTTGTTCTTCATCAAGGGCTAGTTTGGAGGAGCAAACTTGAAGAGCACGGAAAACATAGGAATAAAATGAAGCTAACTTTTGTTTAGTCGGATGACATGATTTAAAGTGTGGTGGAAGGCAAACCGATGAAGGTTTACGGTAAACCGTAGTACTGAAGTTGTATGTGTTACGTGTGACCAGAATGTCGAGAAACGGAAGAGAATTGCCGTCTCAAGTTCAAAAGTGAACTGAATAGCAGGATCAATAGAATTCATTGTTGAAAGAACTTTATTTAAATCATCTTTATTAACTTCAAACAGGGTAAAAGTATCGTCTACGTAGCGGAACCATGCCGGGAAGTTTAAAGTTTCAAATAATTTTGATTCATAATAATGCATGTAGATATCAGTCAGGATGGGACTGAGGGGGCTTCCCATGGCTAATCGCTCAGTTTGCTTGTAATATTTATTTTGGAAAACAAAATGTGTTTGTTTCAAACAGAGTTGAGTGAGAGAAATTAGCTCATCAATTTCGATGCAAGAGAAATGAAATTCTCGAAGTCTGGTTTCTAGACATCTTAATGCACCCTTCACTGGGACATTGGTGAATAATGATTTTACATCAAAAGAAACCATGAGTAAATTACTAGGAGAAATGTTTTTAACTTTTTTTACAAACTCTATTGAATTTCTTATGGTGTAAATGTTATTGTCTAATAGAGTGGAAAATCTAGAAACTAAATATTTAGCTAATGAATACGAGGCAGTACCTAAATTTGATACAATTTGTATCAAATTAAAAAAGTTAGAAAAAAGGAAACACAGAAGTCTTCTGTTGCTCAACGTTGTTGGTCCGAAAATCACACTTTCAATTTTTCTGCTGCCAAAATTATTCAAAAAACATCTTCCATTGGAGAACTGGATTTTCTAGAGGCATTTCACATTCATAAAAATCTTTCTGTTCTAGTTAACGATCCTAATTCCAATCCAAATTTGCCTTCGGCTTTTAGAGAAATTATGTTTTAGTTCTGGTTTCGCCAACAGATGGCGCCACTTGCTTATTCTTGTCCAGGCTTTCTTATCTTATCCAATCATTATTTCCTATCTTCTTCATTTGCGGTTTTGCAGCTGAAGATGGTGGTTCGGTAAAACCATCGAAACTAGTCCTGTGAAAATTTTGTAAATATAGCGCTGATTTTTGTTGTTTGACTTCTGAATTAGTATTTATTCGGCGTGTTATTGTGTCTTAATTTAAACAAATAACACTCATGAAACTGTTTTTTTTCTGGCAATATGTGCCCCCTTGTTGACCTATACAGAAAAAGCCTCAACTAGAGTAAAAAATTCCAAAGCAAAGCTAACAATTTTGGCCTCTGCAAAAGCTGCAGAAATGCACAAGTGTAAATTTTCATTATCAGAAAAAATACACAATCTCGGACATTTAAAGCAGTAAACATTTTCCTCGTATTGTTTAAAAGAGTGCGAGTGACACAAATATTAATGAATGATCGGTTTGAAAATTAATTCATATACGATGCTCGGCAATATTTGAAATCAATTGATAAACTAGCAAAAATTGTCCCGATTACAGAAGAGAAGAGTTTTTACTTCATTTACAGCTGTAATAAAAGACATCATCTCCAACTTATTCCTTCCTCTGAATTATACATCCATTACTCAGTTAACCCCTTCGCGCCGACTGTCACGTATACGTGCCAGCAACGAACGCACTTACCTACCGGCCGACACGCAGGTGTGCCAGAGGATTGTTCCATTCTCTACCGACTGTCACGTATTTGTGCCAGTACTTTGGAATGTTTTTCAACCTATAATTTCTGCCACAAGATGGCACTGTATGTCCATATGGTTTCAGATACATGTAAATTAGACCTTCTACTCGAAATGAGAGAAGCATGACTCACATACACGTGTTTTTGATTATATAAACAAACGAGAAGTAAATGTTTCCGTATGGCGTTATTTATGACGTCTCTTTAAATCGCACTTTATTCGCACGTGGTAGTTGTTTACTGTAAGTAGAGAAGTTTTATTTGCTCTAAAGCGTTGGGTATTTCGGTTTGCAGTTCCTTTTTAGAAAAATAATTAGATCTTGTTAGACGTGAATTCTTTTTTTTACCGTTTTGCAACGTCGAAGCGTCGATTCGAAATGTTTAACAGAGCATGAAATAGCAGAAATGATGCAAAATATTTCAAATATTGATTCTGAAATTCTGATATTCTGATATTGATTCTGAGAGATTAACTGAAAGACATTTCCAAACTTTGTTCCGAAGAGACTGATAAGAAATGAGACGACGATGCTTCGTTTGTTCACATTCCCGGAAAAATCCTCCCAAAACGGCAAATGAGTTATTACGAGTGCAAGGAATGTAACATAGGACTGTGTGTAGATCCCTGTATTCAAATTTTTTCATACGAAAAGAGAATTTTAAGTAATATATTTAGTTTTCAGATGTATAATGTTAAAATTCATAAAATGGTGAGTAATTAAAATAAAATGTGTAAAATATGCATTTAAACAAGAAATAAGTAATTAAAGTATATATATAAAATATTTATAAAGCATAAGCCGTTTAAAATACTCTATAGATCATTATTAAACAATGCGTTGATACTTCGGAAATTTCATGGATTTAGGCTTAGTAGCAAAAAGGCCCCCGGCCCTGGAGAGACGCTCGCGTAAGACACTGCCGGCCTCAGCGATAAGCGCGTGTTTTCGCTACCCGGCTCGAAGGGGTTAAGAGTGCATTAAATTTGTAATAACAAGACTATTTAAAGAATTTTTAAATATTTTAGCATAAAATCTACTGCGTGGAGCATTTCAAGGTCATGAGCAGACATGTCTACAGATATTTTTTTAAAAAAAGCTTATCATAATCATATTTCACAGTGATGATGATGATCATCATGCAATTGGCAGTTTTGGGATATCACAAGCAAAAGGCGAAATTTTCCAG